AAARTTAGAAAATTTAAAAAAATCGTAAAAAATATTTAAATTAACAAATAAACATTTTTCTATTTCTAAATTAGTTAAAAATAATTAATATTAATATTACACACACATATACATACATACATATATTTATATTAGCGACATTTTGTTGATATTTTTCATATTTTGCCGATTTTCTTGTACTATGATGGAAATGTCGAGTTCGACATATTCACCCTTCATGTCAATGTCGAACTCATARAAACATGAATATGTTGATGAAAATGTCAATGGATATTTAGAACTATGGTTAACATACCAATATTTTAACTAGGGATTGAAATGATTATATTATTTTTTTATTTTAAGAATGAGTAGTATGTTTACTCCATCCAATTAAAATACAGAGCATTTCAAACTCAATTAATAAATTGTGTTCAAACATTACTGTTACCATTTTGTTATATAGTTAATTTTAGGGAAATAAAATAAAACTTAAACATAATGTATCAATTTTAACCTTAAACTTTCAATTGGASGTATAYCTAGTTAAGTGTGATAATTTTTACATTTTATTCAATTTTCACTAATTCATTCACTCATTTTAACAAATAAAATGTAAAAATTTCTATAAACTCATTAATTTTAATGAAAACCAAGTTTTTCACAAAACTACTACATTCGATTGATGTATAAAATTTACCATTGAATAARCTCACCAAAATCCACAAATTTCAACCAAAAAAAACAGATCTATTGTCATTTTTCGTGAAATCCTATCAATTCTTTGCACTCGATGTAAGTTTTATAATTCATTTTTTAAAATTGTTTTGAATTATTGAATCTCAATTTTTTTTGTGAGAAATTTGATTATAAAAATCCATAAAAAGAATAGTACCTTTTCTCTCAAAATTCTGATAATGTATGCTTTTTGTTTGCTTGAGAATTTTCGTTTATTTATAAATTTTAGAAAAATCCAAAGACAACACTGTTCATCCTCAAATTTGATTTTTTTATTTTTACTTTTATAAACAAACTAGTTTTTWAAAAAAWTTTAAAATTAATTTTGGCGAGGAATTCAACAAAAATCTATAACGTTACTCCCCTTGAAAATTAAATATCTATTTTCTACTATTTATTTTCAAATTTAGAAATCATTGTAGCTGATGTCTTGTTTNAGTTTTTTTTTTTGAATGAATGAGATTAGTTGGATTTAATAAATACAAAAATAAATATGTACAAATTCTTATTAAAAAAAAGTAATAATTAACTTTGCAATAGATGCCGTACTAAAAAAACTTTGCAATAAATGTCCCAATGCACTTGAACGACTTTTAATGGAATGCCAGGGAAGTATCGTTTTTTATTATTATTATGACTCAGTCGTTCCGAATACATATTTAAAAAAAGAAAAGATTACCAAATATACCAATATCAATCATTAAATAAAAAAATCAAGTTATAGTCAATGTCAAATCAAACATATCTCAACTAGTTAAAGTACAAATTTTCAATAAAAAGCTGTGAGTACAAATTTTCATCCTAAATTTTGTATCCAAATAATAACGAAAAAAGATATATATTCTTGTACTAGAAAACCAAGATATATATCCCACGAAATTACAGTGCTTAAACAAAATCATATTTTGTCTCCTATTCCAATTTTCTATTTGAAAAGCGAGTAAAAAATATAATACTAATAAAATAAAAACCATTAGAGGAAATTTCAAACCTTTGAGTTAGGTCAATGAGATTTTGATAATTACAAACGAGGGAGAAGTGATAATGTACCCATTGGAGGAGATGAAAAATGAAACTCTGGGAATTGAGAGTTGAAAAAATATGGTTCACATTGCATTTTTTTCTTATTTTTGTGCGTTTCTTTTTCTTAATTTTTTTACTACAACATGTGGTGATAGGWAGTCGAACACACACCCAATTATAGCTAGGCATCTTTCCATGTTTCCTGTATGTCCCAAAATCAATCCCTTTATATAGGTAAGAGAAACTCAGAGAGAAAGGAAGGGAGGAATACTCTATATATGCGTGAGAAAGAGATTGGTAAGGAAGAAAGTGGGAGAGAATTTGGGGGAATAATGAAAGAGAAGGAGAGGGGGGGAGAAAAGAAAATTTGTATGAATAATGAAAGAGAATAATGAGAGAAAGGAGAAATTCATGAGAGAGACTGAGAACGTGGAGAAGGAAGATTGGAGGGAGAGGGAGAGGGAGAAGGAAGAGATTGAAGAGAGAGGAAGAGAAATTGTTGGGAACGAGGCAGAATGTGAGAGAATGAGAGAAAGTTACGTGGAATTAGGAGAGTGGAACATAATGAGAGAAAATGGGAAAGACGGAGAGATTTAGGTAAAAAAAAAATTTAAGAAGGATATTTTTGAAATTAGCTTTCTTAATTTCAAATTTTAACCTTTATTAATCCACTTCATTATAGTTTTGTTTTCTTATATTATTTTTATGATTTTGCTTTTAACTTMAAACAAATGAAGATTTTGAAATAATAAAAATAAAAATGACCAAGACAAAATACCTTTTTTATCACCGCTAACAAATACCAATTTTGCAATATATAAAAATGTTACAACTTTTCTTAAAGTTGTAGATTTGAATACACAACTTTTCATTTCAATTGTAATACTATGAAATATACATATAGTGACGTAGTTAAAATTATAATAGCATGTGTGGGAGTGATATCATTTTCTAAAATCAGTAAAACATTACTGATGGGAGTGATTTTAGCTATTGGTAAATTTGATTTTGGTTATGCCCTAATGTATTATAATGATACATAGAATGATTTTAGAAACTATAAAAATGTCAAAATCACGTCCAAACATGCTCTAAGTTTGGTCCATGAACTTTTAACATGGCATTTCTAGTTTTTGTAGTTTCAGGAATTAATTTATTACATTAAACTTTCATGGTCGTGTCTCTTTTAATCTTTGTACTTTTAACAAATTTCTAATAAGTTTAACTTTTTTTCCCTAATATGACTTCATCATTAATTCTACTAGTTTAAAAGTTTACATGACACGATGATAATAGGTTTAAGCGTTATTAGGTTCGGAATCAACTTGCTACATAATCCTTAAAATAATACACGATTAATGTGTCTGATAAGTATTAAATAAATTAGTTAATCTGAACCTTGGATAAGATACACCTAATTAATGCTATTCGTAAGATCCATGATGGGATCCCTGCTCCACAATAATTGAATCTTAAAAAAGAAAAAAGAAAAAAAAGTTTTAAATGAATTAACCATAAATACCACACAAAATTAAAAATAATTAAAAATTCAGAAATTTGTTAATTTTTTTTTAAATATATGAATTAAATAGATATAATTTTAAAAGTTAAGAAAAAACAACCGAATAGATAACTTTGTAAGTTTCCCCGTCAAGAAGAAGAAGAAAACTTTGTAAGTTCAACATTAAATTGTAATTCAAAATTAAATCTGTAATTCAACCTTTTTAATGATTAATGAGTTTGATGTCACTAAAGGATGAGTATTAACTTTTCAAGGTTGATTCAAACTGCCAAAGCGACCATAGCTCAGCGGTAATTGGCATATACCTCTGAGTTTGAATCCCCTCCCCAACATATTGTATTAAAAAAATATATATACTCAAACTAAATAAAATTTAAAAAGACATGTATTTTGATAAAAAGGTGGATGTTTAATAGATTCTTTCAAACAATCATCTATCAAGTCTTTAAACTTTTGATATTTGATATTTTATTTAATAAATCTAGGATTTTATTTAATAAATCTAGGATATATTTCTAAATTTTAAGAAAGAGTTTAATTAGTCGGAAATCTAGTAGATATAAAGTTGAGAGTTAGGGACATATTTGATATTGCTATGTGTAGTGTAACTCGGATGTCACGTGCAACATAGCTCAACGGTTAAAGCACCTTGATCCTTCCCTTGAAGTTGGATGTTCGATCTCTTATCCCTACGTATGCTTGACATACAACGAATTTAAAGAAAACTAACATTGAGGCTACACGCTGACGAACACCAACCCATAAAAAAATATCCTAACGCAGACCTAAAGAGTAGAGTAAAATGACCAAACGAGGACAATAAGGTCAAGACATGCATTACCTTAGTCTATCCCCCAACCACCAGCATGTCGTCAGACTAACACGTCGACACATTCCAAATAGAACATGCATACGGGCCAACACTGACTCACTCTAAACTACAAAATGTGCATGCCAAGGAGTTGGTGTCAAAATTGATATTTTGGTTATTTGGGAGAAAACATGGGAAAAATAAAAATTCGATACCAAAATTGATATTTTTTATAAGATGTCAAAATCAAAATTCTTGTCCAAAATTAATATTTTGATTATTTGAAAAACAAAATTATGAACTAACTTCTATTTAATCAAATATTTAACTCTCAATACCTATTTTATGGTGGCTGTCATTAAATTATTGACAAGTAGGAAATGAAAATGAATAAAAGGATAATTTCCATACATTTTTAAAAAATAAAGAGCTATCGAATCTTTTGTGGTGGTCAACAAAAAGGTGAAGGCTAAACTACTGATCAATGGACGGGTCGAGTGAGTATAAATCTTTCAACCCTACATTTGTTGTGTTAAAAAGGAAAAAAAAAAGAAAAAAAGAGATTGAAAAAAAAGGGAAATTGGAGTTTGGAGTGTAAGAGAGTAAGAAATAATTATGAGTGAATTATAATAAAGAAAGAACCTGAAAATGGTATAACTGTTGGAAGAAGCGGTCCGAAGGTGAGGGTAAAGTTATTTCCGAAAAGGGAGCACGCGCGGGGCGTCGCGTGGGGGGCAGTCGCGTGGGTCATCCACCCACTTTGTTCCACGAGATTCACTTCTCTTTCGACTCCAACCACTGAAAAAGAAAAAGGCTAAAATGTTAGCAGGAAACCCAAGGACGTGGCGGAAGCACAGCGAGAGTATTTCACAATCCCGCACTCGCGAGACTCCACAAATCTTCGTCGTCCGTTTTTCCTCTCCAAAAATCGTCAGCAACAATGGAGGGACGGATGTTTTGGTTGGTTTTGTTACTCTTTTCTCTCTCTTTTTAGTTTTTTTGTGTGGAGAGGAGAAGACGACGCCCCCCCCCGTTTCCCCTCTTCCCCTCTTTCTCTCTCGAACCCAAATTCAGAATCCATACACTCACTTTTTTCCTCCCTTTTTGTGTTCTGGGGGATTTTTGTTTTTTGTTTTGGTTTTGATTTTGGACTTTGATCTTCATTTCTGGCGCTGCCCGATCGAAATTGATGCTGTGAGAGTGGTGGGTCGTTGGGGAAATGGGGATTTGGGTGGTGGGGTTTGATGGGATGACCAATTCGCCGGCGATGGGGCGGTGATTGAAGGACCATGTTCCTCTGCGATGGAGTACGATTCTGGAATTCCGATGTCTGTGACGGAGGGTCACTCCTCTGCGCTCACGCCATCATTGCGCGAAGGTTCTCTTGCTAATTTCGGTATCGTTTTATTTTCCAGTCACCTTTTTCCTTTTCTTCCGCAGATGCAATCCGATTCCCTTTTTTGTTGTTTGTTATGTGGGTTTTTTACGGGGCGTGTTTAAGTGATCCATTTCGATGAGCAAATGCTCTCTCTGGCTGTTTTCTTCGTAAATTCTCCGCTTTGCCCATGTGTTGTACCCATTTTCCTATTCGATCTGTGGTGTATCGTTCTTTTGCTAACTTTTTTTGTTCATGTTTCTTACTGGGTTTTTTTGTTTCTTATGATAGCGAGGAAGAGATTGAATTAAATATCTGAGACTGAATCTTTCGTGGGTTGTTTTGCTTTTTTCATTTTCGGGTTCTGTATGTCTGTAACTATTTTGAGCTTTTCTTTATTTTTGTGAAGAAACGTATGCATAATTCATGTCATTGTCGTTCCCTTCTTCTGCTTCGCAATTTCCATTGACGGCAAGATGGTGGCTCTAATGCTGATATAATCTATATAGCATGTTATTTTATAATCTTTTAGACGTTTAGTTTTTCGTAACTTTCATAAGATTCGTGTGGAATAGAACACAGCTGGTCATTTCATCTTATACGGTTATTATACCCAGTTGTGTTTGTGCTTTTCATGGTAAAGTTTTCGGGTTCAAGAGTTGGAGTGTTGAGTTGCTCCATTGAATTATGAGGTTCATTTTTATGATGAATGTAATTGAGAATCATTAGGAAACAAATGAGTACGACAGCATTGCCAGGGCTCAATTTCTTGGGGTTGGAATAAGAAATGTTTTATTGAAAAAAAATACCGTGTATTAAATGGGTAAATAGGATATCTTTGTCCTATAGGAAAGTTTTTGGCCAAATAACTTTAGAGTAATAGCAGGTTCATGTATCTGTAATCCATGGTATATTCTATGTAAGGAGGTGGCGGAGGTTCAAATCATCTATTGGTTCATTAGACCCTTTGGCTTATTTCATTTGATGTAAATTTTTTCACTTGTTAAGCTTGGCTTTTGTACCTAATTGTAAGGGTATATATTTTTGGCTGGTTGATTATTGTTTCTTCTCCCCTGATCAGATCATGAGAGGAAAGATTCTGTGGCAGGGTACCTGCCTAATTGAAGAACTTAAGAGACTAAATGAGTACTTCAATTAGAAATGTGAGTTTCACTCAGTTTAAAGGGAAGGGGGGCTTGAGGTTGCCCATTCTGTGCTAATGCAGCTTCTTTATACTTTCATTCCTCTGAATAAAAAGGACTTTTATACTTTCTTTATCTAAAGAAATGCATTGAGAAAGGGCTTTTCTTATAATAGTTTCTTTCAAGCTATGGCTTCCACATGTAGCTCTAACCACATTGTGCCAAGGGATTTAGCTTTGCCAACCAAAAATCCCTTGAAGAATTGAGCCACCATATGATAATATATTACATACGCCAACTTATATGAAGAAGTAGAACCACTTAATGGAACTTGAGAATGAAAGAACAAGTGATAGAAATGCCCATGATTATGGACTTGATAATTTATCATGCATTGCATTTTTCGTAGTGAACTCACTCTTTATAACTAAAGCTTCTGCTTGGTTGATACCTACAACTATGAGTCCAAATATACTACCAACCTCTTTACCATTGAAGTTGTACCATAATTGAACCACCATAATTTATACGGGCAATGCTCTGGTCTGTTTGGATGGAAAGAAACCAAAGGATTTTCTAAGAAAAGGAATGCTTTCTCCACAGTATTTTTTGCTATATCTTGGTGTAAATGCTCTCCTTTCTTTCACCATTACAGCTTTGCTTCTTTGTTATCTAATTGGAGAGCCTTTTTGTAGACCCATGTTAGGGTCCCCTCCCCTTTTTTGTATATCTATTTCATCTCATCAATGAAATGTTTCGTTTCAAAAAAATAAAAATAAATAAAAAAAAATTGAACCACCACTAAACACATTGTCACTGTCACCCTAACAATCCACAACCTCATCTGGCTGAGTGTAGAGTATAAATTCAACCCTCTGTATGGCTATTTCATCTCCTCCCATTTGACTTGATATTGAAGTGTCTTCATAGAAAATATGAAAGCGCTGGCTTTTTAGACTTTGTAACTTCAAAATTAACACACATCTTGATTCTTGGTCATTTGTTACGCTAAAATGTTCCTTAATGCATGTGAAAGGTTCATATAATGTTGTAGTTGTTGTGGCAAGGTACCATCATAATCTAAGAAAGTTACAAACATAATGTTGGTCCTTCCATGTATTCATATAACCTTGGCCAAGCATGAGCATGATGCCTTGTAATTTGCATTCGACTTTGGGTGTCTGTGAACAAAGTGTTCTGTAACTATGTTTTGTCTCTTATCTTCAATAGTTGGAGCCCTTTCTTGTATTTTTTTTTCTTGTGTTTATTTTCTTCTTGTTTTATTTTGACTCCTTGTCGATGAGGGCTGACTTTTTTATTGCCAGTGTGTTCTTCGATTTGCTCAATGAAACTTTGGGTTCTCATAAGTAAGCAAATAAATATTATACCATAGAACTTGGTCATGTTTTCTTCCCAGATGTGCACTGTTTCTCGTAAGTGATATTGGATGGTCTTGCCTTAATAATGCCCCCTGTCCCATGTTTCTCCATGATGTGGTTCATGTGAAATTAATGTTGTTCCCCTCTCAATGCTTTACTGTGGCATGCCCATGAGCCCTTAATGTAAATGTCTTGCCTGTAAACTTCTACACAATTGAGATCTGGTATGACATAGCAGCCCGTCAAGCTGATACTCAGTAACATTTCCAAGTATTAATCTCTAGTTCATGAGAACATAGGAAATATCTACACACGTGTTCACTGACATTATCAAAGGAATTTCTGTTTCAATAAAATACGATTGGGGACGCACTATGTCCTTTTCTGCCTGTCCACCAATAGATACTAGCAATGGTGGGAAATGGACAGCTGCCCAAGGTGGCTTTTAAAACAATTCTGATTTTTCATTTAAGAGCTGCAAAAGCGGCAAGGAATCACTTGCCTCATAGGGCTTAATCCTCGTTTCATGATTCTCACCCTTGTTTGGAACTATTTTCCATCATAAGAATCATCTATTGATGGCTAGCTTGCATCCTTTTCATTTCATGGTTTTATCTTTCGATTCTTTCTGCAGCTTGCTAACAAACCTTTTGATTATTGTGATACTCTTTATTCATAAAGTACTGGCTATCTTTGTATTCAATTTACCTTTTTTTTCTTAACCTTGGTGGAGAGGTTTTGATCTTCACAATACAAATTTGTAAAATAGAAAGACTTGTTAAGAAAATATGTGTTAGAATATATGTGGATCCCATTCATATTTGTAACAGGTTTAGGTTGCTATCAGTTCTCATTCACTAGGTAATCTAAATGGAGTAATCACCTCCTCAACATGGTTTTGGAGTGATGAGAAATTAAGCGTTAACTGCAGTCCTGGAGTTGAAAAGTCAATGTAAAATGCAGTGGAACCTTGAGAAATGAATTCCCAAGGACAATGATGAGAACCAAACTTATCATCCTTGGCTCCCAATCATGGTTACAAATATCAGATGTACACTTAATAATGTAAACCTGACAACAAGAATCATTGGAAAATTTTCACAACCAGCTGCATAAAAGAGCTTTACTTGGAAGAATAAGGTTTACCAATTCGTTGTCAAGCTCTTTCAGTGACTTGTGTTTGCTTAAAGTGACATTAGAACTCATATTACCATTCTTTTGTGCGTCCTTTCTGATCTCTGATCAAAATGGAATGTGTTCTGACCAAAGAACTCAATCGGCTAGGGGAAGTGGGAAAAAGGAGAGTTGAAATTCATAATTTTTTAGGCATGAGAAAAGGGGGTTTTGATATATTGTTCTGTTTATGAGTAGTCTGTTTTTCTCTTTATTGCATCATAAGATTGCAGTAGACAACTTGTCCTACTATTCTATCTTAAGACTTCAGTGTCTCATGCATTTATTGGTCCAGGCATCCCACACTTCTATTTATCGTCTTCAATTCCATTTGGAGTTGGTGAATTTTTTCCATTGCTTCTCCAGACTTGATGAACAGACCTATATATCTTTTAGTTCCTATATGCGTGCATGGGTTCATGGGAAAACATGAGCTTCATGCATTTCAGAATAGTATAGCTATCACAGACCTGTATATCTTTTCTATTTTACGTTATTCATTTCTCCTCGGTTTACTGTCAAATTGTATTTTTTTTAATGGAGATTTACTAATTTAATATTGTACTACCAGATGCACTGTGGCAAATGAACTTGGGATCAGGTGAAATAATGGGATCTGGATCTTATCCCGTGCGACCTGGAGAGCCAGATTGTTCTTACTACATCAGAACAGGCTTGTGTAGATTTGGAGCTACATGTAGATTTAATCATCCACCTAATAGAGAGTTGGTAATAGCAGAAATGTGATCCATTCAGTTTTTCTCAGTTGAATTTTATGATAGTCTGGTAAAATTGGTGAACTCTGAAAAGTATTTGGGGCATATACCTGGGCTAATTATTCTCTCCTCTAGTTTTTTTAATCTCTCTCCACGCAAATTTTGTGTTTGTAACTGTGAAGGGAACTTGTGCCATAGATGTGAAGATACTACGTTCTAGATCAGATTCATATAGAACTTTATAGTCATCTTATGTTCTAAACATGTTAACTGAACTGCCTTGGAGCTTAAACTTTCCAAAATGTATTCCCTATAGTTGTTTACATTCAGAACTTATTGGATAAGAACTATCTGGGGAAATTTTAAAATGGTAAAATGTCACTGTTACCTTAACTTGATACACCTAATTGTCCCTTCATTCATATCACTCACTTCATACTGTACAAACCTGAAGCCAAAGATGGGGAATCATTTTATTTGTAGAAAAGGTTTGTCTTTCTGCAGACCTTCCTTTTGTTTGTGTTATGTTCTGACAGCTGAATTAAGGGTATCACAAATTTCTCCCAGAAATAACATGCTTGCACAATTTATGCTAGAAATAAAACAGATTATTTTTCCGTGTCACTTCCAATTTTGCTATTTCAAGCTAACATGGAGTCATTTCTAGTAGTTAAGAGTTTCATACTTGGAAGTTTTACAAGTCAGCTTGTGATGGAGTCTTCTGTGATTTACTACACTTTACTTTCAGGCTATTGCCACTGCAAGAATGAAGGGGGAGTTCCCGGAAAGAATTGGACAACCGGAATGTCAGGCATGTACTTATTTATTTATCTTAACTTTGTAATATTAACATATTACATTCATGCCTCACAAATTTTCTATTGACGTTTTTTTTATCACTAATCTGCATATCAATATTTGGGATTATCTGATTGTAACTAGGAGGGTTACTATCAGATTATCTGATTGCAAGTGAGTTATATCTCCACACTATTATCCAGAAAAAAGTCCCCAAGGCTAAGGATGTTTCTTTCATAGCAAAAGTGAATCAAACAGCTTAAAAAATCACCAATTATGGTAAAGAGAAAGGAGACAGAGGATCACTTTGTCTTAAACCTCTCTTGGCAAAGATTTTACCAATCGGTTTGCCATTGATCAACATTGAGTAGTTGACAGAAAAAACGCAGCTCCAAATCCACGGTCTCCAACTAGGTATAATACCTTGAAGCTCCAGAGTCGCATCTAGTAACAACCAATCTACTTTGTCATAAGCTTTCCCAAAGTCTAGCAAGAAGCCTTTTCTCTTATCCTTTCTCAAAGCCCCCACCATTTCTGAAGCCACTATGATTGCATCTAGAATTTGATGCCATTCTAGAAAGGCAGCTTAAGCATCATCTGTTATAGAAGGGAGAACTTTCTGAGTCTCAAGGCGACAACCTTAGCAACATTCTTATGTACAAGGAAGACACCAAGCTAATGGGTCTAAAATCCCTAACCTTGGTAGCCTTGTATACAGGTTCCATTTGTTTGTTGATGATGTCTTTCTCAAAAAAGTCTTGGAACACCCAGACTTCAAGATGTTCCATGCCTTTTTAAAGAACTCATTCGTCATCCCATCTGGAAAGTTCTCTAACTCGGACACTGCCTTATAAATCTCTGAATCTGTGAAGGGGACTTCCAGCTGATCTTTCCAATTTGTAGATAATGGGGCCATTCCAGGTTTCCAAAGGTGAAGTGCTGACCCTCGATACCATCATAAAGAACATAAAAGTATTTTCTTTAATAAAAAACAGAGAATTTCATTACCAAAGATAGCTAGATACAAAAGAGGGCTAAAGCAATCCCCAAAAGCCAGTGGTTATAAAAAAGACTTCCAGTTGGCATTGATTCTCAATGCTATAATTACAAAAAAGCTTATCAATGAGACACCAAGAAAAAAGCAAAAGTACGAACAGTTTCCCAAAATCCTTGCGTAGAAGACTCTTTGCTTTAAAGACTCTCTGATTCCTCTCAAGCCACATCCTCCAAACAAAGGCAGCAACTGCATTACGCCAAATAGCCAAGCTTCCTTTTCGAGAGGGGAACCTACAAACAGCTGGAAAATGGCCTCTTGGCAACTCTTAGGTAAGCACCAGCTCAAGCCAAACTCCTTGAACACTCCTTGAACAATGAATACCAACCATCGGTAGCAAAACCACAAAATAGAAAAAGATGGGAGTGAGATTCCAAATTCTCTCTACATAAAACGCACAAGCTAGGGGACAAAGCCATATTTCGCCTCTTCAACTGCAGTCTATCACAAGTATTCAGCTTTTCCTGATAAAGAATCCACAAAAGAACTTTCAACTTTTTTGGGGATCTTTGAACATTATAAACATTTGATGAAATCGCGGGATCACTTTCTTGCCCAATAAAGAAAAGTAATCAATAATCTCTTTCTCAATATCCTACGTTCAATATCTTCCTTTCGCTATAGAGGGCTTCTTGTAATCTACTTTGATTCTCCTTATCTATGCCTTCGATTGCCTCTAAGAGATCTGTTTGATGTTCATGATGTTACCAGAGACCTTTTTGTTCCATTAGGTGTGGGCCCCTTTCAAACCCTACAACTTGTCCATGAAGCCAAAACCTGGCAACCAGTCAACGAATTGCTTGACCACCATGGCTCAATCAAGGGGAGCAAAAGAGGGGACACCAGCCACACATTCTCAAACCGGAAGGAGGAAGGTCCCCATTTCCATCCTCTAGCCCCTTGGGTTGTCTGTTTGCTCTTTTTAATGGAGGTTGTTACTGTTTCTTATTAAAAAAAAAAAAAAAGAAAAAAAGGTCCCCATTCCAAACTCCCTATCTTCAAGAAAATCGGGCAAATCTTTATATAAATCCATCCAACTGGAGGCCAGAAATCTATTGACTATCGAAATGGGCTGCTTTCAGAGGTTGGACCGAGTATACGAGCCATTGTGGAGGGCTAGATCAAACAAATTCTTGCAATGTCGTGCCAAAAATCAATCTACCTTGGGGAGTTGAAGGGCTGCCTTGCACCCCAGTGAACCAACCAGATCTGCAATGCAAGAAGAGAAGTTTACTGTAATAGAGAACGTCATCTGCACAGAATATGCAACTGGGACTCTCTGATCGTTCATCATGACTTACATAGGAACTGCCAAACTTTCAGCCTCAAGGGACATCCAACTAATATGCCAAGAGCTCCAAATAGATTTAATTAAGAATCTGTTAGCTAACCTACGCTTAGTCTCCTGCCGATAAACTAATATCTGGATCTAATTTTTGAAGATCTTTGATGAGAGCGCTTCATTCACAAAAGGAGGGAAATTGAAGGTAAGACATTGACATCCTTTCACCCTTAAATCCAAGGGAATCTTCAGGACTCCAATTGTCATTTATTAATGGAGAGTAATTACCAAAAATCATATCTAGAGGGCTATGAAACAGAGAATATCCTATTTTCCCTTGAAAAAAAATCTTCCAATTCTTTTTTTCCCCCTTTCTGATGGGAAACAACCAAATTTCTATTTATCAAAACAAAAGAAGATTACAACAGGGTGGCAAAATATCAACCCGATCAACCAATGGTGCCTTCAAAAGGACTCCAATTGATGTTTATCAATGGAGTGTAATTACCAAAAATCATATCTAGAGGGCTATGAAACAGAGAATATCCTATCTCCCCCTTGAAAAAAATCTTCCATTTCTTTTTTTCCCCTTTTTGATGGGAAACCGCCAAATTTTCATTGATCAAAACAAAAGAAGACTACAGGAGGGTGACAAAATATCAGCCCGATCAACAAATGGTGCCTTCTTAAGGACTCCAATTGACGTTTATCAATGGAGCGTAATTACCAAAAATCATATCTAGAGAGCTATGAAACACAGAATATCCTGTCTCCCCCTTGAAAAAAATCTTCCATCTCCTTTTTCCCTCTTTGATAGGAAATGACGAAATTTCCATTCATCAAAACCAAAAAAGATTACAAGAGGGCAACCAAATATCAACCCCCTTGGCTACATTACTCCACATAGATTTTGCTTAGTTTTTGTTAAGGTGGTCACATGGTGTAAGAGTGATGAGATCCTTAACTCCTTGACATATCTTGCAAAGTCAAATTCCGGTTGAAGCACCCAAGAACTTCCTCCAAGAACTACCAAGAGACAGCCTGCGCGTATTTGCATTGGATTTCTTCGGTTTGTTCTATCATTGATATTGATATTACCACGAAGAAGAGACTGCAGGAATAATTTAACTTTGCATGTGTATTTTCCATTTCTAATATGCTTGCGTAAAATTAAAGGATGCTCACTGAAGCAGCAAGGTAATAGAAGTCGACTTTAGAACTCATTGAAGGCCATTTTTAAACCTCCTTTTCATAAACTCACCCTTAGATCCATTGCCAGCTTTCGGTGTAAATCTTTTTACCATGAACTGCCATTTTGAGATAGAAAACGGGCGCTTCTTTTGGGAGGATGGATTGGCGGGCAACAAGCCTCTCAAGTTAGCCTTCCTTAGACTCTTCTCTCTTTGTGATGATAACAAAGCTTCATTCTCAGCAAGGGTTGGAATTGAATGGAGAGAGGGTGGATCTTGAATCTTAGTGAACTTCTCAAAGATAGTGACTGGAGAGCTTGCCCATCTGTCATACATTGTTACTCCCTGCTGCCCTAAACTTATTTGGCGGTAGCTTGGAGAACCCATTAAAAATTTAGAGAACTGGTATCAGGTGGTAACAAAGAGCCTTCTTTTCTGGGTTGAACAAATGGGGTGGACAACTGATGGTAACACATTTCACACTGAAGGGGGGCTTGACAATGCTGCTGTCAACCGACAACAGCATCAAACTCACTCTGACAATTCAATGATCAGTCAATGAAGCAATGCAGCGAACAGCGCATTTAGTAGTTCAAACACGAGACAGAGTGGATCTTGATGATGTATACCCATCATAAATAGGAGAGACTCAGTTCACAATGTTCAAAACAAATGAAAAATATGGGATGTGCTTATTTTAGATACAAGCCTTTAGAATTCTAAGTTCAAGAATATAATCAGTTCTTTAGCTTATTCCATGTGTTTGGAAACAAATGAAGTATGGGATGTGCTTATTTATTTTCTTCATCAGTTTCAGTGATGGATTTTGGCTAATTTACACAGTCCATCGTATGTATAACTGTCAGGAATACTGTTTATTGTGGAATAGCTGTCAGGAATACTGTTTATTGTGGAATAGTTTTGGTTTAGAATAAGAGGTCTTTTGTTTATAATTATCCTCAAAATTTGATTGGCTTAGATATTATATTGTTTTTCAAGGTCTAGATTCAATTTAATAATTTTGCTTTTAGATAATTTTCTTGCATTCTTCAGTTTCATGGATGCTTTCGTGTTATATTAGAACTTAAACGAACACTAAATATGTAAAGCATAGAATGTTTCCTTAGTTGTTGACTATTAAAATGACATTTTCATTTGCATATAATCCAGTACTACCTGAAGACGGGAACTTGCAAGTTTGGGGCTACATGCAAGTTTCATCATCCTAGAGACAAGGCTGGGATTGCTGGAAGAGTTGCCTTAAATATTTTAGGCTATCCACTTCGCCCGGTTAGGATTTAACTACTACTTTTATCATAGCGTGCTGTTTGCAATCCATAAGTTTCTGTATGTTCTTGATTTATCTCTTATACATGTATGTTAAGATGAGAAGCACTTATGTTGATGAAAAAAAGTTCCTAGGAAAGAGAAGACTAGAAGTCCATCCCTATTATGCTCAGCTTAGGAGAATTAAAAAAAAAAAAAAAACTACCCGAATCAGTTGTAACAATATATGGTAATTTGGTAAAAAGGAAAAATCAGAGAACTCTTTGGTGATAATTTATATGCCTTTGCCTACAAGTGAATATAGGAAATTAGTAGCTAAACTTATGTTATTGAAGAGGAAATAGAAAATAATTATGATTTATGAAGAAAAGCACAGCTAAACTATAAAGATGGTATCTCACATGGTAACTTGCAAATTTTAGATCTTCAATTGTGATGTCACCTATGCTTTTATGCTAAAATTATTTATTTGCTCCATTCTCTACCCACACCCCCAATCATGCAGAATGAAACTGAATGTTCTTATTATTTAAGAACTGGTCAATGCAAGTTTGGAAATACATGTAAATTCCACCATCCTCAACCAACTAATATGATGGTCTCACTGCGTGGTTCACCTATTTATCCATCCGTACAATCACCAACTCCTGGTCAGCAGTCATATCCAGGAGGAAGTACAAATTGGTCAAGGGCTTCCTTTATTCCCAGTCCACGATGGCAAGGCCCTTCCAGTTATGCATCTTTAATTTTACCTCAGGGAGTTCTTTCTGTTCCAGGTTGGAATGCATTCAATGTAAGTTCTATTCCTTTCCTATGTTTGAAATAAGTATGATATATGTTATCCGTGTTTGTTTACTATATTTTTTTAATCGAGGTCTGAGTGTTGTGGAATATGAGTCGATGGAAATGTTTGTTTTCTGGAAGAAAATTATTCTTTCTATTTTTTGCCACTCTGTTTGGGATGTTTGTTGGAATAAAGTTAATATTCATATTTTGAAAGTTTAAATTCTTTCCAAGATACCTTTTTCCATGTTA